GGGGTTTCTTTTTGTATTTCATCTATACTTGTAATGCAAAATATAATATGCATTTCAAAAGATATTGATATTTAATGTTTTGGCAAATGTACCTTTATGACTTATTACGTTTTTCAAAGCTGTTTTGATATGGAGCATTACTGTTCACACTGAGTAGACTCTGTGATTAAAGACTCCTTTTCTATGCATTGAGGCATTACAGTTTTAAAACAGCTGGTAAGGCTTGAAGTGCCTGTGATATGCAGCAAGCTGTGTTAAAATATCCCCTTAAAAACAAAGAAAAGCACTTGAAAATTAGTGTCACTGCAACACCCAGACACCACACGTAACCTGTGAAATGTATCAGAATATTACTTGTAATTGAAAAGGATGATTCAGGATACACTTGAAACAAATTGCTAACCTGATTAATCCTTATCTATATTCAACTCTTGTCTTGCAAAGCAACATTCCTTACAATGTAAGTGGTAAGATCCAGGGGCTGTATTAAGTGGCAAAGCCTTTGGGGCCTCAGTGTTTTGTCTCTTTTACTCTGTCCACATCAGGCAGGACTGGAGGGAGAACTTGGCATGCTTCTTTGGCAAAGGTCAGCATGCTGTTTACCTATTCCTTTAGTTTTCCTCCAGTCCTGGAAGGTATTGCCTTAAAACTTTTCATCTAGAAAGTACTCCATTTGGTCTTTAAGACTTCTGAGAAAGCATATTTGGCAGAACCTTCCTGATAAGTCACTAAACTATTCAACTCACAGATGTGCTGTTCATTTAAGAGGCACTGACAATATTAGGAGTTTCTCCACTTGCCTGGCAACTCTAGTGAGGTACTGCCTTCAAGAACCTCACTTGCCTAAGAGAATGTTAGGATCAAAGTGGTAGTAGTGACTATATTAGGATTTCTCTCTCCTCCCATGACATCCCCTCATCCAGACATTTTTTAATCATTTTTTTAAAAAGCACTGTTTACTGCAGTGCTTCTTCAAAACAGCATTGCTACCATCAGCTTCCAAACAGGACAGAAAGCAATGCAGTATGAAATGCACTCCAAGAAGAAATAAGTTTCAAAGTGTGGCCTTTTTTATCTGAAGTTGGGGGGAGACTTTTATTTTCACATTCAAAAAGGACATTCTTTCATTGTTCTGACAGGCACATCTACATCTGACAGATGAACACTTCCACCAAGGGCCCTTGGTGAGAATACTAACCAACAGTGAGGGAAAAGGAAACAAGCCAGGGACACAAAGTCCCCAAAAGTGATGCCCATCTGGAGTATCAGAAGACAAAAGAAGAATGTGTGAGAATGAAGGAGCAAACAATGCTGGATGAGTTCACAGCTAAAAAGGGGGGAAAAGAGAACCATTGTTCAGATTATCTTTTAGATAGTCTTTAATGGCTCTGAATTCAAAGAGTTCATATAATTTTACCCTCAACCACAACTTTTTAATGTTTTTGTACAAATGCACTTGTCTTCACTCAGGACTCAAATTCATTTCCATTTGTAAGCAAGCAGCTGGAGTGCCTTCCTGTGGTTTGCTACTTGTTTATTCCCTTTTTCCTGTTTATTTGTTATAATGAAGTGGTTTGTTTGGATGCAGCTTATGCAGGTGCTTGCTGAAGAGCACATCAATAGGAAGTTGAGCATCGGCACTGAAATATAGTTGCAAAATTTCACATTCGTATAATTATCCCTTAGGAGCTCCGACCCCCCTGCAAGGATGTGGACATATGCCTCATCCTGAACCTCCCTTGGCTAGGTGAACCATCCCTAATGAAGACGGGTGTACATTCTGGCTGTATGTACTAAACTAGAAAAACAGTTGTGTCAGCTCCACTCCATAAAAATACTTGGTGGGCGCATCGACGCAAGACACAACTGCGCAGTAGTTACTTGTAAAAGCAAGTACTAAATAAATGCACAGTAACTGGAGCTACTGTGCAGTAGTGCTGGTGAACACCTTTTAAGTGATGCTGTTAGGCTACTGCGCAGTAGCATCTTGGCATGGTTTTTTCCACGTGATGATACTGCACAGTCAGCATCTCATTTAGACACACCCACTGATACTATTAGGGCAAAGCAGGCCATAATAATGCAAGCACAATTTGCCATACTGATAGAGTTGGTTTTCCAGGCAGCCCCACCTGGCCTTCAGCCTGTCAAATGCACATTCCTTCAGTGCTGTTAAGTATGAAATTAAACCTTGTGTGGCAGGCCTCTGAATTGGGGCATTTTTTCATAACCTGTGGCAGAAGAGAGTTAATAGGGTTTCCCAAAATAAATGAGCATGGAGAGATACAGAGTTCATAACAATGCCCCACCAGCAGTTAAATACCCTGGTGTCACACACCTCTCTGGTATGTCCAACGGTTGTGTTGAGGAACCTAATGAATTTGCCTTACTAACTGACTATAGCTTCAGGATGAATGACCTTATGTTCGTAGTTAACATATTCACTTGTTCCTACCCTAGACTAAGAAACCAAGCTTTACTGCAGAAGTCACAGAAGGTTTCTTGTAAGGAGAGAGGGCAGGGTGGCACTTTAGGGTGCCTAAGTGGTTCAGGGGCATAAACTCTGTGATAGCCTACTGTCAGATACTCTGATTTTGTAGTATCTGAAAAAGTAGATGTAGGCTGTAGCCTTCAAAAGCTTTTGCCTCTGAACCAGTTACACCTCTTAAGATGTCACCCTGCCCTACTTGCTGCTTGGCTTTAGATGAACTTGGCTAACTACCTTCCTTGTAAGAGAAGGTAATCATTACATGGCCATTTGTCACTACGCCGTAGGTCAAGTCATATTTCTACACGCCAGCCTCCCAGCTGGCCAGCTCTGCTTTGTTTTGTGCTCTTGCACCACCTTAGTGCCACATCACAGTTGTTATTCTTGGCTGTCCGTGAGGTACAGACCTGCAAAACCTTTCACAGGAAAGCAAAAACAACCGCTTCAGCCTCCACTGGCCTGTTTTATTGGTCCAGGAGGTGAGCCCATGAAATCATTATAAAATGGCACTATTTTTTTTAACAAGATACACCTCATGTTAACTTAACTGAGGGTAATTAGGGAAAAATCCTATAAAATAATTAAAATCATGAAAAAAGAATTCAAATGTCATTTTAATGTTGTTTACAACCCCCTCGGTGATGCATGAGATTGATTTGTAGCTTGTGTGGATCTTTCACCCCACAATGGCAAAGCCAGAAACTTTTTGCCCAGATGGGAAAGGCGGGCAGGATTCAGGGGCCAGGATTGTTTCCAAACTGCCTTTTTTTGGACAAAACCAAGCAGTTACTGCTTCAAAAGGCTCCAGGCCGGAGGGACATGCCACGCGGTACCTACCCCCAGGGCAGGGCGCAGCAGGTGAAGTTGCAGTCAGGATGAACCAGTGCGGGACAAACGCGCTGGCAGCAAAGGCCTGCGGGCACCAGGCCCTGGCTCGAAACCAGGCTCACAGCCCTGCTGCCAGGAGGCCCGGCCCAGACACGGCAGCACCTGAGCAAACAGGGGCGCGAGGGAGGGGCAGAGACCGGGCACCTGGCTCGACTTGTGACAGGAGTGTGTGTGTGGGGGTGGGTGGGGGTGTGACACAAGAAGAATGTGTTGAGGGAGGTGACACAGCAGGAGTGTGTGTGACATGACAGGAGTGTGTGCAGGGGGTGTGTATGACATGACAGCATTGTGTGTGTCGTGGGTGTAACATGACAGGAGTGTGTATGTGGAGGGTGACGTGACGGAAGTGTATGTGGGTGGTGTGTGACACAACAGGAGTGTGTGTGGGGGTGTGTGACATGACAGGAGCATGCATGGGGGTGTGACACGAGAAGAGTGTGTGTGGGGGGGGTGTAACATGACAGGAGTGTGTGTATGGGTGGTGTGTGATGCGACGAGTGTGTGTGTGGGGTGTGTGACATGACAGAAGTGTGTATGGGTGGTGTGTGACGTGACAGGAGTGTGGGGGTGTGACAACAGAAGTGTGTGTGTGCGTGTGTGTGTGACATGACAGGAGTGTGTGGGGAGGCATGACATGACAGGAGTGTAGGGGTGTGTGTGACATGACAGCAGTGTGTGTGGGGGTGTGACATGAGAAGTGTGTATGGGGGTGACACGACAGGAGGGTGTGAGGGGTGTACGTGTGACACGACAGGAGGGGGTGTGAGGGGGTGTGACACGACAGGAGGGTGTGAGAGGGGGTGTGACACGACAGGAGGGTGTGAGGGGGGTACGTGTGACACGACAGGAGGGGGGGTGAGGGGGGGTGACAAGA